TGGAGCATGGATTCCCACGGCCAAGTGCCCCGTATAAACGACAGTTAGTCGCGATAAATCCCTTCTGTTGAGTTTGATGAGAAATGCAGTGCGTTTTGCGCAGAAGGTGGGCCACAAATTCCTGAAGACCCTACAGGATTGTAGGCCTTTCCATCTATTATAAGTAAGTCACCTTTTTCCAGTGCTGAAATATGTGTCTCTTGATATAGCTGAGAGGCACAAGAACCTCCTGTGCCTCTGAGATATTCAGACTGATATACTGTGCCCTGGTACCCAGATCAGTGCAACGACATGCCTATCAGCTAAAGCCATAACGTTATCTCTGCACTGTTTTATTATGCTGTCCGAGAAAATAGCAATGCTGGTCCCGGCTAGCTTTGAGATTAAAATTATTTTGCAAGCCTCTTTGACGGCAAAGACCTCCGCCTGGAAAACACTGAACGAATTCGGTAGTCGAATAGACTCTTCGATTTGGAGATCAGCTGAAAAAATTCCCGCCCCTACGCCACAATCCATTTTTTAGCCGTCCGTTAAAATAAATAATTCAAAGCGTTCATTAAAAATAGGCTCCTTCCAATCCTTTCGTAGTGGAAATATCGTCCCGAAGTTTTTCTTGAAGAGAAGCGAAGGACAGATGTAGTCAGACTTTTCGCTAATGCTTGGGAACAAGATACGGCCATACCCGTACGAACGTTCTTTCCACAGTCTAAATTCCCTCAACCGCAGGGCACCCTGTGAGGCATTTTCCTTAATAAAGATATCAATCGGTGGCAAATGACAGATGATGATTCAATGCCTCCGTTGGACATGATCTGATCGCCCCAGTATGTACATCCATAGCATAAGATCAGGTCGTAAACCCCACTCTTCCCTAGCATATTCTTGCAAACATGTTTTGAAAAGAGGATTTATAGACCTTTAAAATTATGTATAACAATACAATGTTGGAAGTTTTTTTTTCGGATAAATTTTAAAAAGCCCCTATTCTTCTTAATCTTCTTGGTCAAATCGCCGATTTCAATAATTTCTATGAAAGTTGCCAAACATGTAGTGTTTACCTAAAATTACAGTACATAAGTATTTACATACATATGTGTCTTAACAAAATTATGATTCTTGTTTGTTTGATACGCGGTTACGAGGACGTTAAATTAGATTACGTGAAAACTCCGGTATTTCTTATCTTGTCCATTATGTTACCACTGAATACATATTCCATATGAAGTTATAAGACAACGCACTGTAGATTAAAATAAAGTTCTATCGTCATCATCTGTACAGTAGCAGTCTACAGGTCGCCGTAGAAACTCCTATATCCTCCCCCATAAGGGTGTCCTGTCTAGCCAATTAGTCAGTCATGCAGTTTATCCATTCCCTTAAAAAGGGATCCAAACATAGCCAGCCTGGATGCGCTCCAAACCGCTTCTTGAAGTATAAAGCGCCCCGACCCAACTTTTAACTTATGTAGACTTTTACAGTGAACTCTTCCTGACAATGACTTCATACAAAATATGTTACTGGCTAAAATACAGTTTAACGCAGATAGCAAATAACATTTAAACTGAGAGCCCACCTCTTTTCCATGGTGGTTTTACAGCAGTATAGAGCAGCTGATGAATTTTTAACCGCTCCTAAATTGTGACTTAGGGCCGGTTTCTCAATGTCCATAACATATACCGGAGACTTAAAGGACTTAAAAGAGTTAATCGATCAAGCGGTATATCTACGGTAGTTCACCTGAAGAAAAAGGGCAGTCCATTGGGTCGAGGACGGTAGATTCACGTGGTTCAGGATTTGTTGGGAAACGAGCATCGATATCAGGAGCAGATCAATATATTTTGCCTTCCTCGTTCGATGGCGCTGGGATCGACTTTTTACATCACAACGTCACCTAGCAACAGAAATATGTTTCTTCGAACAAACGTTTTCTCAGACGTAATTTCTTAATTCGGTTCAGATATACCCAGAAAAAATCAGCTAAATACATTTCTCTCGACACATGATTTGGTTGTAGTCACATTATATGGTTATAGTTTCCAAATCATATGTTGAGAGAAATATTTTTAATTGAATTTTTTCTGGGTGTAGTTCCACAAGCGTAATTAAATCTTACAAATGTTTACAAATTAAATAAAATAAGTATAGTATATGTAAATATTAATACTTAAAATACAATGAACATATTCTTTCAGATCGACTTAGTTGACTTGGGTCAACAGCACTATCCACGTTATTTAATGAATGCCGTTTGTCAAAGCAATCAATCGCCAAATGAATATCCGCAGAAGTGTTGGCGAGGATCCTACTGCAAGCCATTGGAATATAAAGTGAAAGTACTCACACCTCGAACTCTCTTAGATCAGGCACAAAATGACCCGGCACTGGCATGGTTACCCGATGAACTCAGACAAGATTGGAAATTCAAAACTGTTGCAGTTGCGGCTGGTTGTTTTTGTTCGTATTAAATATGAATTTGGCGACCATATAAAAACACAGAACTGACATGGAATAAATCGTTTACAGATTAACCGTTAATTATAAACACATATTCAAGTACCTACCCACATATGTACATATATTTTTTGATGTTAGATTAGTGTAAATACGAAGGAACTGCAATGCAAATGTGTAAAAAACACTAACAATATGATTAAAAATTGTTCTTTATTCTACAGATATTTTTCAATTTTTGAGTACAAAATTGCAGCAAACACTTATCCACGAAACCGTAGATTTATGGGGTTTCTTCTTTTTATTTGGCGCTGTAACCGCCTAAGCGTTTTTGGCCGAGCTCAACAAATCATGACAGTCGTTCCTTTTTGCACCTCGAGGGAGGACTTTACTCCTAAATTGCCTACACAGTCAAAATAGGCACTTATTGGCTAGAGTGATTCTGCTGGTTCCCAAGTAAACAAAATTCTCTTCTTTCCCGAAATTATGGGCTGGTTTCTCCAACTCAACTTAACTTAGTTAAGCCAATTTTCTTGACTTAGTCAAGAATAAGCTGTGTAAAACGTAGGCTAACTTTTGACTAAGTTCGAAAAGTGGCTAAACTAAGCTAAGTTGAGTTGGAGAAACCAGCCCTATGACTGTCAACAGTGACGTGAGTGCCATGGCGCGAATGCGCTCTGACTGTGTGGTGACAGGGATACTTCGTCTTGTCCTCGTTGACTCCTCGATTTCGGTATTGTCCCTACTTATTAAGGGCCGGTTACTCAATGTCTGGTTAACACTAATCTGCGGTTAAACATCGTCGATAACGCGGAGGAGGCCTTCCTCTTCCTCTGTTACCAGCATCGCGCCCCGCGTTGAATACTTTCAGAGCAGGAGCGTTTCTGTCCATTCGAACGACATGGCCAAGCCAGCGGAGTCGCTGAATTTTAATTCGCAGCACTATGTTTATATCGTTGTAAAGCTCATACAGCTCATCGTTAAATCGTCTGCCGTATTCGCCATCGCCAACGCGTAAAGGTCCGTAAATCGCAGAATCTTTCTCTCGAAAACTCCAAGAGTCGCTTCATCAGATGTTTTCATTGTCCATGCCTCCGCGCCATACACCAGCACAGGCATGATGAGTGACTTATAGAGTGTGGTCTTTGTACGGCGAGAGAGGACTTTAATTGTCAATTGAATACTCAGTCCAAAGTATTACTTGTTGGCAAGGGCGATTTTCCGTTGGAATTCAATGCTGACATTATTGTTGCTGTTAACGCTGGCTCCCAATTAAACGAAGTCGCCTACTTTTCCAAACTTCTTACTGTCAATAGTGGCGTGTGTGCCAAGTCGCCTATTCTCTGACTGTGTGTGTGATGACAGGAGATACTTCGTTTTGTCCTCGTTCACCACCAGACCCATTCGCTTTGCTTCTCTATCTTATCCCGAGAGGGCAGAACAGACGCAGCTTTTGTTTTTACCGATAATGTCGATGTCGTCGGCATACGCTAGCAATTGTACGCTCTTGTAAAGTATTCTGCCAGAGTACGATGTTTAACCGCAGATTAGTGTTAACCAGACATTGAGTAACCGGCCCTAAGCCTGCTATACAGTTCAACGTGAGCGTGAGCGTGAGCTTTTTATTTTGACCAACATCTTTGTTATTACTTAACTTTTTGCAATAGTTGATACATCAATAGGTAGATAATTAAAATATCTTTCAGAATTATAGAAAACTAATTTAAAATGCATAATATGCCGTTTTTCAAGCTCACACTCAACTGCAAGGTGTATTAAACAAGGTGGTGTTGGGGCGACAGCTGAGTTTTTCGCCGTGGAGGCCATTACGTCAAAATGATGTGTTTGTTGTAACTCATACCAATGACAGTATGGACATCAGCGTATAATTTGTTAGTGTAATTTTTTACTTATATACGGCCAACACCACCTTGTTAAATACGCCTTGCTCAACTGTGTGCGTACGAAAAGCATTCGCATGTGAACGACAAGTTTTGACAGATGTGTTTGAGCGTCCATAAGAATACAAATCGTCGCCTGGGTAAAAGATTGTCGTATGTTAATTTCGGTAGGTTGTGGGAAATCGCGATTGAAGTTTGAAATGCATACAAAAAAAATAAATTCAAAATTAATTAACAATAAACATTAAAAATTAAATAATTTAAGAATTTTTTTAACTAGTAACATTTTCAGAGACTGGAGAAAATCTATCCTCGCGTTTTTGAGAAACTGCATTCCAAACTTCAATCGCGATTTCCCACAACCTACCGAAATTAACATACGATAATCTTTTACCCAGGCGACGATATGTATGTACATACATATCAGACATCTGCAGCGGGTGCATGATTTTCGTGTATACTCGATCATCT